CTTCTTGCTTCTCAAACAGGCCAGGCATTGGAGTCGACATTCGTTCTCCCCCCCTCAGCTAGTTCTCAGTATGTTTTAGATCACCACTCAGATTTTACCTCATCAGAGAAGCTTTTCCTGATCCATGCTCCCCCCAACACTCTCAATTTAGTCACCCTGTTTAAAAGTCTCACTAAATCATTATTTTTTAACTTTATGTCTTGCTAGACTCTTAAGTGCCATAAAACCAGGAACTTGCTTTCCTGTTCACTGCTGTGAGGCTGTCACCTAGAATCATGCTGGGTGCATTGAGACATTCAGTAAATATCCATGAACTGAATGTAGGCATGAAAGCCATTGCTTCTTGACTCACATTGCTTCATAAAATAGATTTCTAGATTTAGAAATGACCTTGAAATGTTTTATAATTGTTGCTAACACAATTATTTGTAAAATGCAATTCATTTTAGTATTCTCAGTGAAGACAACTATTTAACTGTTGATATTTTGTTGTTAGCAAGTTATATTAAGAAGGGCAGAACCCGACTGCCCTTGGGGTTCATCTAGAGAGAACCGACAGGAAGAATCAGTCAAGGGTTGAGTTGATCAAGTAGGTTCTCTAACTAGACTGGATAGTTGACAATGGCTTTCTGTGTGGCTTTTATGGCCAAAATTCTTCACAAAGTGACTTCAAGATTCCTGTATTATGATAATATCAGGAAGTAAAACATTTCCTGTGAAAGTATTAGTCGCTCAGTTGGGTTCAACTCTTTACGACCCCATGGACTGTAGTCTGCCAGGCCCCTCTGTCTGTGGAATTCTCCAAGCCAGAATACTAGAGTGGGTAGCCATTCCCTTCTTCAGGGAATCTTCCTGATCCAGGGATTGAACTCTGGTCTGCTGCATTGCAGGCAGATTTTTTACCATCTGAGCCACCAAGGAAGCTCCCTCATCTTCCTAGATGAGATGCTCTTAAGATCACACACACACATACAACGAGAAGCACAACAGACAACAAAATAGCAGAAATGGACTGAGGTCCAGAGATTTGAGCCTAACCATGTGTGACCTTGAACAGAGGCAGTCCAAGGGCAGCATTTGAGAACATGGTCTGGGCTGCCTTTCTGAGCACATTTGAATCCTGTGGCTCAGACAATAAAGTGTCTGTCTACAATGCGGGAGACCCAGGTTCGATCCCTGGGTCAGGTAAGATCCCCTGGAGAAGGAAATGGCAACCCACTCCAGTACTATTGCCAGGAAAATCCCATGGATGGAGGAGCCTGGTAGGCTGTAGTCCATGGGGTCTCAAAGAGTTGGAAAGGCACACAGATTTTGGTAACACACTTAATGGTTACCAAAGAGGGAAGTCAGGGGAGGACTAAATTAGGAACTTGGAATTAACATACACACACAAATATATATAAAATAGGTAACCAATAAGAACCTACTGTATAGCACAGGACATTCTCGTCAACATCTGAAAAACCTATATGGGAAAAGAATCTGAAAAATAATGGAATATACATAACTAAATCACTGCACTGTACACTTGGAACTAAGACAACATTGTAAGTCAACTATACTCCAATAATAATTTTTTTAAAAAGAATAAAATTGAAATATCTTACCACACTCTAGATGAATCTCGGGGAGCAGGCCCTTACCTGCACTGATCTTCCAGCTCACTCTGCCGCCTCACTCTCATCCTTATGCATTTTCTTCTTGCTTCTCAAACAGGCCAGGCATTGGAGTCGACATTCGTTCTCCCCCCCTCAGCTAGTTCTCAGTATGTTTTAGATCACCACTCAGATTTTACCTCATCAGAGAAGCTTTTCCTGATCCATGCTCCCCCCAACACTCTCAATTTAGTCACCCTGTTTAAAAGTCTCACTAAATCATTATTTTTTAACTTTATGTCTTGCTAGACTCTTAAGTGCCATAAAACCAGGAACTTGCTTTCCTGTTCACTGCTGTGAGGCTGTCACCTAGAATCATGCTGGGTGCATTGAGACATTCAGTAAATATCCATGAACTGAATGTAGGCATGAAAGCCATTGCTTCTTGACTCACATTGCTTCATAAAATAAATTTCTAGATTTAGAAATGACCTTGAAATGTTTTATAATTGTTGCTAACACAATTATTTGTAAAATGCAATTCATTTTAGTATTCTCAGTGAAGACAACTATTTAACTGTTGATATTTTGTTGTTAGCAAGTTATATTAAGAAGGGCAGAACCCGACTGCCCTTGGGGTTCATCTAGAGAGAACCGACAGGAAGAATCAGTCAAGGGTTGAGTTGATCAAGTAGGTTCTCTAACTAGACTGGATAGTTGACAATGGCTTTCTGTGTGGCTTTTATGGCCAAAATTCTTCACAAAGTGACTTCAAGATTCCTGTATTATGATAATATCAGGAAGTAAAACATTTCCTGTGAAAGTATTAGTCGCTCAGTTGGGTTCAACTCTTTACGACCCCATGGACTGTAGTCTGCCAGGCCCCTCTGTCTGTGGAATTCTCCAAGCCAGAATACTAGAGTGGGTAGCCATTCCCTTCTTCAGGGAATCTTCCTGATCCAGGGATTGAACTCTGGTCTGCTGCATTGCAGGCAGATTTTTTACCATCTGAGCCACCAAGGAAGCTCCCTCATCTTCCTAGATGAGATGCTCTTAAGATCACACACACACATACAACGAGAAGCACAACAGACAACAAAATAGCAGAAATGGACTGAGGTCCAGAGATTTGAGCCTAACCATGTGTGACCTTGAACAGAGGCAGTCCAAGGGCAGCATTTGAGAACATGGTCTGGGCTGCCTTTCTGAGCACATTTGAATCCTGTGGCTCAGACAATAAAGTGTCTGTCTACAATGCGGGAGACCCAGGTTCGATCCCTGGGTCAGGTAAGATCCCCTGGAGAAGGAAATGGCAACCCACTCCAGTACTATTGCCAGGAAAATCCCATGGATGGAGGAGCCTGGTAGGCTGTAGTCCATGGGGTCTCAAAGAGTTGGACACGACTTCACTTCTGCTACTGGTTTCCTGTGCATTTCTGAAAAATTCATCTTTCCTGAGCCATTTTGTGAATTAAATGAGGTAGTGTACTTAAAGCATTAAGAATGGTGCCAGGGGTATAAATTATTGCCTAAGTGATATCTTAAAATTACTATTCTCGGTTAAGCCCTTACCTCCTCTGAACACATGAGTCCTTATCTATAAGTAAGTTGTATATAGTCATTCTTATTTCACAGAGGATTTGAGCTATGAAACATGAAAGGAAGAAGCACATTATTAATACATCATTAGGAAATTAATGTATCTTTTTCCCCTACATATTTAATTAGATCTTCACAAGCACCCAGTGAGAATAACTGTAATTTATCGTCCTTATTTCCTGATGAGGATACTGAGATTCCATAACAAATCCAAAGTCATTTGGTCAGGACTGAGATCTATGACTCTGAGCCTTTGATCTTGTACTGAACAGAGCAAGAAAGAACTGCCAAGGCTACCTGGTGGCTCAGACGGTAAGGAACCATCTGCAGTGCAGGAGACCCTGGTTTGATCCCCGGGTCGGGAAGATCCCCTGCAGAAGGGACTGGCTGCCCACTCCAGTATTCTTTCCTGGAGAATTCCATGGACAGAGAGAGAAGCCTGTTGGGCTGCAGTCCACGGGGTCACAAAGAGTCGAACGCGGCTGAGAGACACTTTCCCTTTCACACAGAGCAAGAAAGAACTGGCAAGGAGACCTTCAAACAGAAGGTGTCTCATAGTCTTATCTTATCTAATCCCACCTGTGTTTTGAAATTGCTGAGAAGGTGGTTATTCTCTTGTTCAGTTGGGGTAAGGTGCACAACGGCTCCTTTGTTCTAAAACTTCCTGTATAGCTAGGGCTTTGGGAATCATTCTACATGCAACTCACAGGCACTCTGCTGAGCTTGAGGCTCTCCTTAAAGATCCCAAATATTCTGAAAAGTGTGCTCTTCGTTTCCCTCTAAGTCTGATTCTCTTAGAACCACTCTCTCCCACTCTCAAGCTGTCTGATCTGGGCTATTTCCACATAGTGTTGAACTTGGGGATTTTGCTCCAAATAACTAGACACTTTCTGCCCTCAAGCTAGCCCATATTCAATTCCTCACCCGCAGATTCACTGTCTTCCTCCTTGTGTCATGTCTCCTGGCTCACTAGTCATTTCTAGCTGTAGCTTATCTGTACCAAGCTTGTGTTATTTCCTGTGAGTCAACCATCTTATGATGGGAGAATTAACACTCTTAAATCTCCATATTCAGCATGAATATTTAGCTTTTCTTTTGCCTCCAAAAGAATCACACCTTTGATTGATACAAGGAACTCAAGAAAGACGAGGACTGCTAACTTGCCCCTCCACAAAGGATATTCTAGATAGACAATACAATGAGAAGTTAATTAACCATCTATTCCCATCACTCCTTCCTTTCCCTTCCTTATTTCGTAATCTAGCCTTGTCTGGCTTTGATTTAATACTTTAAATCTACTTGTCAAATATTTGGCATTACAGGGAGTTTCATAAGCTATTAATCCCACATATAACTACTAAGTCCAATACATTTGTGAGAAAAATATTACTCAAAATTTTAAAACTACCTTAATTTAAATTCCACCTTTTAAAACTCAAGCCTTTGAGGCTTCCCTGGTGGTTCAGTGGCTCAGACTCTGTGCTCCTGATGCAAAGGCCCTGGTTCCATCTCTGGTCAGCGAATTAGATCCCACAACTAAAGATTCTGAGTGCTGCAACTTAAGACCCAGGGCAGCCAAATAAATAAATCAATGATGTCCTTTTTAAAAAATAAAATAAACCTCGAGCCCTTGGGTACAGTATATACAATGTATTTTCTGTGGCATTTTGGTTCAGGAAAGCATGTCTAAAAATTGCCTCTCGCAGGATTTAGTGAAACCCAGATGGTGAGTCAGTGTTCTGTGCGTGAAATCATCCAGGTTCAACAACTGCTTTCCACTGTGCTTGCTACTTCCTGCCCAAACCAATGGGCCTCAGATTTCCTCAGGGGACTGTCAACCCCAGAAGGCAACATTCCCAGATCCCAGTTTGCTTTTTTCCTCCTCAAAACTTCAAAACCCCTCCGGAACACAACCCGGGGCCCCAAGTAAAAATTAAGAAACGTGGGCCCAACTCCCCTAAAAAACCAACCCTGGCCAACCAAGCCCCGAACTTCCCCACAATCCCTCCGGGACTGCCCATCCCACTGGCCACTCTGGCTTCATGTTTTGGTTCAGAGGTAAAGCAAGGAAGCAGCCCATCTCCATTCGCCATGGGTACCGCTGGATCCATGGGTGGGCTCCATGCTTTTCCTGAACCAGAAACCTAGGGCTTCTATGGCAGTTCTGGAAAAACATTTGTCATCTTGGTCCCTGGATGAGTTAAAGACTTAAGGTTGTTCCCGCTGTGTTTCTTCCCCTTCTGCGACCCTAGCTGTTACACTACAGATTTCCATGAGCTGACTCACAATATTTCTTTTAGTATTCAGGGGGACCTGCCTCTATTCTCGGAATAACGTCTTCATCTCTTCTTAAGCAGCCCATATGTTCCTGCTGAAAAGAGCAGCAGAAAGCTGCAAGCCCTTGTATCTGACGGGGAACAGGAATTTGGAGCATAAGTACTATGAGCTAAGTCTGAGCAAACTATTAGGCAATGACGCCAGGCCAGTTTGGGGTTGACATTGTATTGCATGGGAGATCAAAACCAGAAGAGATACAAGCATAGACTTGTTTTTAATTCAATTGCTTGAGGACAGAGTCTCAGCCATCTAAGTGCTATTCATGAAAACAGGAAAATACATGAGAGAAGCCAGGGGAGCTGAGGACAGACTGGAGAGTGAGTATTTTGATACTGACAACAGTGTTTTGAACCAGATTTGCTCTTTTCATATGCAAATACACGGTCTTCTGTACAACTGGTATCTTCCCTGCTCCAGAGCACAATCAGAGAGCATTTCTCTCGAGAGCACCATTGTTCCAGGCAGAGGTTCCTCTCTTCTATCTCTATAGATACTTCAGTGATACTTAAATTAAGAACTAGAATTGAGTGGTTAGTTCGTTTTAGTATAATATTCCCGACTGTAGAAGTGAATTTCATCTTCTTGGCCATTTTTTTTGTTCAAGCTAATTTGTTTTTATTTAATGCACAGATACACACAGTATATGGTAGTATATTTTTATGTTGTTCTCTTACAGGGGAAAAAGTAACAAATTCGATTTCAGGATCTATTTCTCAACAATCTGAATCTGGCTTTTGTTTAATAGATAAGTTAGTCAGTTGTAACATAATTCAGAAGCTACACTCAAATCTCAGTGTAGCAAGAATTCTGAGGCAAAATTTCTATAACAAAATCTCTTCAATTCCCTTATGCAAATTATTACCTGTATTCCTCAATAACCCTGTCATCTGCTTCCTAATGCCTAATATGGCATTAGTCTCATCATTTCCTTGAGTTTTATTTGGATTCTACTGTCAGAGTGTTGGTTGTCTTAAAATTCTCATTACAAAGCTAAATCACCAACGAACAGAGAACCAGACAGAACAGAATGATGTCATTAACAAACAATTAACTCAGGCTACTGAGCTATGGGTAAAAAATTAATAAATAAATAATGAGCCTTCATGATCAAGAGATCTGACTGATTAGTCAAAAATGTGGATACAGAACTAATGGAACCATGAAATGTCAATAGGCACGTTATTGTCCTGGACTCCAGCTAACACAAGCGAAGTTTAAGTCCAATGCCGCTTGCTACATAATAAGCGTACAGTAAATTGTGCTTTTTGCCCGCCACCCTCATCGTCTCTACATGCTTCCTTTATTGTCTTAATTGAGAAAAACTTAAAACTTGTATTATATTTAGCATTTTCTTTGGTTGCCCTGCTTGGCTAGGGAGATCTTAGTTTCTGACTGGGGTTCAAACCATGCCCCCTGCAGTGGAAGTGCCAAGTCCTAACTGCTGGACAGCCAAGGGATCCCCTATATTAGCATTTTATTGATGTAGTATAGGGACAAGAATTCTAGGATTATTTCAGTATGTCTAAGGAATCCTTTTATGAGGATGCCTTTATTTATTAGTTTATTTATTTAGTTTGTGTGTGTGTATTGATTCCTTGGATTGATTTCTTATCTTTCAACCTTAAACACTGAGCTGCTTTTTTGCCCTCTAACTTTCTAGAAACCTAATATTAATATTGTTAGTTCAAGTTACATAGGTATAATTATCCTCCCTTGAAAGTCAGATCTTAATTTTAAATTAGGAACATTAATATTTTGAACTCAGTATCCTAAAAGACAAAGGAAAAGAAAACTAGGCAGGGGAGGGGGAGGGGGAAGAAAAATAAGCCCACATTTTCTAACCTAGCAGTCCAATTTTTACACAGTCCTTTAATTTTCCCAACAAATATTTCTTATGTAGGTAGCTATGTGTAGTTCACATACTCTTTAGGGAAGTGTGTGTAAATTAAAATCTTCCACACTGCAGTTAAGGGGAAGAGTGCACATTTTTGTTTTACTTCTATGTAGACTTAAAAAGATACTTTCTTAACTGATGGGAGATGCTGTGGTTTGTTAAGAGAGATGTAGTCCTGACCCCAGTAGTCCCAAGTCTAATAAATATACAAGTGATGGTTTTGATAACCTCATCTTTCAGAGTGATGAGAGAAACATAGGTTAGCAAAGACATCATCTGAAATAGGAGAGAAGAGAAAACACACAGGAGACATTTGAGAAAGCAGAAGTGCACACAAATAAGAAAAACAATACCCAATGAGAAAAGTTACAAAGTAGGCTCGATCAGTTGAAAATAAACTAAGAGGAACAGCGAGGGCAAGATGTGGTGCTAGGCTCAATGAATTACAGACTCTTCAAGATTCTATGGGAAATAAGAAAATAAACACAGAAGAATGTTATTAATGAGCATAAATCAGCTTAGCATGATATAGAGCCATGGTTTTCGAGGACTAGCCTTAAAACCATATTCCTAAGTGAATAGTGTGTTCCCAACACATGTTCCTGGTATGGATATTAGTATGAGTTGGCCTTCTGCCATGGCTCAGCAGTGAAGAATCCACCTGCAATGCAGGAGACACGAGAGGCGGGTTCAGTCCCCGAGTCTGGAAGATCCTCTGGAGGAGGAAATGGAACCCACTCCAATATCCTTGCCTGGGAACTCCCAGGAACAGAGGAGCCTGGCGAGCTACAGTCCATGGGGTCACAGAGAGTTGGACACAGCTGAGCGAGACACGCACACTCGGCGCTGTACTTTCTGCCATCTTGCAGCAGACAACTGGTTATCATGGAATGCAGTGACCTGGGAGCAAGGCAGTGTTGTCTTCTGAATCCACTCAGGAGATCTGGACCACAGATTTACATCCTAGTCTTCAGAAAATTGTTGTCTTAAAATTCCTGAGAGGAAGGAAGAATAAAGAACAGAGATGCAGAAGAAACTAAGAACAGGAAAGCATATTGTACTGGCTAAGTCATTAGAGGGGCTATTAAGCTTTTAAAATGTTACAGATATCTCTTAATATTTAATGCAAATTGATTTAATCTAGAGGGACTCACTGGCATGGAATGGTAACTGTGAAACCAAAAGTCCAATGATTTATTGGACTGGAAACATATCCCAAGGTGGTGTATCAGTTGATAGATAAATGGCATTTAATTTTCTGGACTACAAGGAACAAGGATATATATATATATATACACACATATACATATATATATATATGTGACATTTTTGAGAAAGCTGACCAAACTCTAAGAATTTGAGAAGTAAACACAACACTGCCTTCTCGGCAGCAAGAGGCTTACTCACAGCCTTAGGGAAATGATCGATTCTCTTCAGGATGGGAAAATACAAATAGTGCTATTGGTGGAGCCTGGAGCTAGATGGTTATTCCCCTAGATCCTTGTTTGGATAAGGCCACTTTTCTCTTCCAGATGTCCCCTATCCTCCATACCCTGGTTTTATTTTGGGTTTTTTTTTTTTTGGTCCCTCGAGGGAAAAGGGACAGAACGAAGGGTCTCTTCCTTTTTCCCTATAAAGAGTCAGGAGAGGGGGGCAGTGTATAAGAAATGAGCTTTCCTCAGAGAAGATTTGTTTTGGGTTTGAGCTGTAACATTTATTTTTAATTGCAAGAAAAAGAAGCTTTATAAGCATTCAGTCTTCCTTTCTTGATGAAGGAATACAGAGAGCAGAGGAGCAGGTCTTCCCATGACCCCTTGGGACGTCTCAGTTATTAAGACGATGCCTCCCTGTGGACCAGCTGTCTCTAAGTAAAGAGACACTAACCTCCCAGACAAATCCATGCTTAGAGCACGAGTTTACCATTTACATGTAGTACGTTTGAGGACAGACAGAAAATAAATAAAACTTTTCTGCTTTTTTTGGCTTCTTATTTGGAAGTGCCTCATCAGAGGGGAAATGAACAAGTATAAATGCACATCTGGTTTCACAGAAGGCAAAATACTCATGATAACTATGATTTCTGAAAATAACAGATAATCCATTTAAGGAGTGTACATTTTATTTTGTGTTTATCTATATGGAAACAAGAAGGTACCAAAATATCACAGATATATATTTAATAAAATAAATGTATTAACAAAAGAATAAGGTTATATCAAATCAGAACCAACTTGGAATATCTTGAGAATTTAATTACTATAAGAATACTGAATAGATACAATCCATTTTTGTGTCAGCATATAACTATATTCATATTAATCTCGGTAGCTCAGCTGGACTTCCCTGGGGGCTCAGCTGGTAAAGAATCCACCTGCAATGTGGGAGACCTGGGTTCGACCCCTGGGTTGGGAAGATCCCCTGGAGAAGGGAATGGCTACCCACTCCAGTATTCTGGCCTGGAAATTCCACGGACTATACAATCCATTGGGTCACAAAGAGTCTATATTCATATTAATCTTAATTAAAAAGGACCTATTATGTGCCTAGCATTCTACATATATTACATCATATAATCTTTACAACAAATCTTTGAAATCTGTCCTTTGACTTCTGTTTTACAGATGAGACAATAGAGGCTGAAAGAGAGTAATGTATCCAAAGTCACATAATTCCTTAGGCCAGATCCTGGTTCAAATACAATTTTATCCTGAGTTTAAAAAACAAACAAACATGTCTTTATTCTCTATTTGCTCTCCTGTGTGGTTTCTCCTCGAAGCCTAAGCTTCCTTTGGCTAATTTAAGAACAGAATTGTAGAGCTGTGTGAAC